TTAAAGATACCTGGAAACAATGAAAATGAAGAAACCTGTTACCAAACCTCTGGGATGCCATGAAAACAGTACTAAGAGGGGAATTCATATCTCTATGAATACACTTGAAGAAAATGGAAAGATCACAAGTTAACAGTGTAACAAGTCACCTAAGGAAGCAGGAAAAGCAAGACTACCAAAACCTAACTTTAGCCGAAAAATCCAGATCACCAAAATAAAAGCCCAAATTCAGGACAGATGACAAAAAGATAATGCAAAACAAATCAACAAAAAGGAAAGCTGCTTCTTTGAAAACATAAACAAGATTGATGGACCCCTAGCTAGACTCACCTAGAAAAAGAGAGAAAAGCCCAAATAAGTGCAATCAGAAATCCAAAAGATCAAGTCACAACTGACCCCAAAGAAATACAAAAAATTGTTGGAGATAACAATGTACACTTTTATGGAAAAAAACTTGAAAACCTAAAAGAAATGAAGGACTTTCTGACATCACACAACCTCCCCAGGTTGAAACAGGAAGAAATCGAGACACTAAATAGACCAATAACAGTCCAGGAACCAGATAAATTTCCAGCAGAATTTTATAAAACATAGAAGGAGGAACTGATACCAATAGTATTGAAACTATTCCAGGCAATTGAGAAAGACTGAACTCTGCCCAAATCATTTTATGAAACTAACATCACATTGATAGCCACATCAGGTAAAGATCCAACAAAGATACAGAACTATTTGCCAATGTCCTTTATGAACATAGATGCTAAAATTGTCAACAAGATTCCAGCAAACTGGATCCAACAGTACATCACCAAATCATCCACCATGACAAAGTAGGCTTCATCCCAGCAGTGGAGGACTGATTCAACATTCGCAGAACCGTAAATGTAATTAAATATATCAACAGATGTAAAAACAAAAACCATATGATTATATTGCTAAATGCAGACAAAACTTTCAATAAAATCCAGTACCTCCTCTTGATAAAAACCCTCAAACATCTAGGCATAGATGTAACATTCCTCAGAATAGTAAGAGTCATCTACTAGAAATCCACAGTCAACATAATGCTAAACAGACAGAGATTTGAACCATATTCCCTGAAAACCAGACTAAGAGAAGGATGATCACTCTCACCCCTTCTTTTCTACATAGATTTTGGAGGTCCTAGCTAAAGCGATCAGACAGAGAAGAAAATCTGGGGCATCCAAATAGGAAAAGGGAGTCAGTATCCCTCTTTGCAGATGATATGATTCTATACCGCAAAAATCCAAGAGAATCTGTCAAAAAACTCCTTGCACTGATAAAGGACTTTGGCAAAGTCTCAGTGTATAAAATAAATGTGCAAAAACAGTCACATTTCTATACACCAGCAATAAACAAACAGAAACCCAAATAAAAAACACAATCTCATTCACAATAGCAAGAGAAAAGTGAAATACCTTGGCATCTTCCTAACCAGAGACGTGAAAGACCTTTACAATGAAAACTATAAAACACTGCTCAAGGAAATCAAAGATGACACAAACAATTGGAAAAATATTCCATACTCATGGATTGGAGGGATCAATATTGTTAAGATGTTCATTCTACCCAAGACAATCTAAGACTTAACAAAATACCCATTAAATTACCAACAGCATTCTTCTCAGACCTGGAAAAGACAATACAGGAATTCATATGGAAACATAAATGACCACAGAGAGCCAAAATGATCCTAAGCAAAAACAAACAAACAAACAAATAAAACCCCAAAAAACTACAGTGGGAGGTATCACACTTCCAGACTTTAAACTCTATTATAAAGCAACAATAATCAAAACATCCTGCTATTGGTACAAGAACAGGTATATAGACCAATGGAACAGGATAGAGATTCCAGAGGCAAAACCTTAATTTTTTGACCAACTCCTCTTTGACAAAGCCAACAACAACAACCACTGGGGAGAGGAGAACCAATTCAGTAAATGCTGGGAAAACTGACTGATCACATGCAGAAGATTAAAACAAGACCACTACCTATCACCACAAACAAAAATCAACTCTAATTAGACTAAAGACCAAAACATAAAACCTCAAATTATGAAAACCTTAGAAAATGCAGGAGACACCCTTATGGAAATTGGAACTGGCAACCAATTCCTAATCAAAACCCTAATTGCCCATGCCATAAGAGATAAGATAAACAAGTGGGACATCATCAAACTGACAAGCTTCTGTAAAGTCATCAAGAAATCATCAAGAGATCAGGGAGACAGCCTACACACTGGGGAAAAATATTTGCCAACCGTATGCCTGGCAAACACATCTATGATCTACAAGGAACTCAAACATGTTGAAAAGGAAAAAGAAAGCAAACAGCCACATTACAAAGTGGAAAAATGGCATGAATAGACACTTCTCAAAAGAAGACATACGGGCATGCAACAGACAAATGAAAAAGTGCTCAACCTCACTAATCATCGGAGAAATGCATATTAAAACCACACTGAGATACCACCTAACTCCAGTCAGGATGGTTATCCTCATTAACTCAAAAAAACAGCAGATGCCTTGAGAGGATGTGGGGAAAAGGGAACATTTCTACACTGCTGGTGGGAGTGTAAACTAGTACAACCTCTTTGGAAAACAGTTTTGCGATTCCTAAAAGGTCTAAAACTTGCCTATGACCCCACAATTTCCCTACTGGGAATATACCCAGGGGAATCCAAATCACTCTATGACAAAGATACCTGCACATGTGTGTATATTGCAGCATTGTTCACAATAACCAAAACATGAAACCAACCATGCTGCCCATTGAAAGAGGACTGGATTTAATAAGTGGTAAGTATACACAATGGAATATTATGCAGTCATAAAAAGGACAAAATTATGAACTTCACAGCAACTTGTATGGACTTAGAGTCCATAATCCTGAGTGATCAATCACAAAAACAAAGAACTGAGTATCACATGTTTTAACTCATAACCAAACCTTGAACAATAATTGTAATACTATAAGAAAAGGATTGGTACTAGTGGGAAACTGCCTGGGGTGGGGAGTGACAGGATTGACAATAGTGGGAATCTGTCAGGGGAGGGAGGGGACACCTCATCAACAAGGAAACCTGCATAATGAACATTTGTATAGTTAATCCTGAATTGTACCCAACGTCTTTAAAATAAAAAATTTAAAATTAAAAGAGTATAATGTCTATTTTATCATCTTTCTTGAGCATTGGTGGGGACCTGAAATAATACAATTATTTCAAAGATTAGCTTATAGACTAATGCTAACCTGTGCTTAGTGCCAGGCACAACCCATTGTCTTTAATGTTTCAGTGTACTTTCTCTATCTCTAGATTCCTTATAGCACTAGATGACACTGACAGACAATGGAGGTGGGAGCATTTTCCCCTCCCAATGGATCTTAAACTAAAAATATGGGTAAACACCTCTGTCCAGCATCAGTTTCACCAGCGTCCTGTTCATTGTAGCTACAGCAACTTCATCCAGGCCAAGCACCTGGGCTTGAAGATGAAAGATTAATTTTTTCATAACTCCTCCACTCCTCCACCTGATAATAACGGTCCTACACAAAAACTCCAAGAGTCCACTCCAGAGGATCCACCGCTCCCTGGACCTTTGCTAGGTTTCCACCAGGACTCGGAGATTTCTATCATGACCAGCACTCTACTGTGGCAGCATTTCAAGACGTGTGGGTTAACTTACACTCTCCCCTTCTGCTTGGAACCTGGACCCAACCCGGCCCTCCCAAAAAATCCCTGGTATTTAAAAATTAACACTTATGCTAAATGTACAAAAGACGCTGTTAATTATCTCCATGCATGCCAAGGTATCAGGTCTCTATACCTCAACAGTGGCAGAGCACCAATTTCCACCAAAAAGCAATAGCACTGGCTCCCCAGGAGTGTGCTCTTGCCAGAAGTTTAATCAAACTATGCACTTCCGGTGACAACCACATGCCCCAAGGCCTCCAAGATGAGCTACACGTTGGACTCGCTGGGCAACCCGCCTGCCTACCTGCGGTGGCCGAGGCCTGCTAGAGTTTTTGCCACGTCAGTCGCTTGCGGTCCAGCGGCTTCCGCTCGCAGTGGTGGTCCCGTGGCTCGCCCAGCACTGTTTCTGCCTCCTACAAGCGCAGCACGATCGTCCTGCGCCTCGCCTGCAGCTCGGCCATGCTCAGCTCTGCCGAGAGGAGCCTCAACTTTGGCCCGTTCTCTGCCCTGCTCAACCGCGGCAGTCCGGTCCGGTGGCGACTGCAAGCTGTCCCGCTTCAACGAGAAAGAGCAGCGGTAGGGGCTGAACGACTGCTTCCCCGGCTACACCGATAAGGTGCACTATCTGGAGCAGCAGAACAAGGAGATCGAGACGGAGTTTCATGCGCTGCGGCAGAAGCAGGCTTTGCACGCTCAGCTGGGAGACGAGTACAACCAGGAGATCTGTGAGCTGCGTGCCACCCTCGAGATGGTGAACCATGAGAAGGCGCAGGTGCAGCTGGACTTGGACCACCTAGAGAAGGAAGTCCACTGGCTCAAGGAGCGCATGGAGAAGGCGTGGCTGCACGACGACACTATGGCACCCATCTGCGCACTGCGCACTGACATTGAGGAGGCGTCGCTGGCCAAGGTGGAGCTGGACAAGAAGATGCCGTCGCTGCAGGACGAGGTGGCCTTCCTGTGGAGCAATCGCGAGGAGGAGGAGACCGACCTGTTGTCCCAGATCCAGACGTTGCACACCAGGTTGGAGCGACAACGACTGCTGAAGACAGACATCTCGTTGGCACTGAAGGAGATCCGCTCCCAGCTAGAGTGCTACTCCGACCAGAATATGCACCAGGCCGAAGAGTGGTTCAAATGCTGTTATGCCAAGCTCACCAAGGCAGCTGAACAGAACAAGGAGGTCATCTGCTCCACCAAAGAGGAGATTGCTGAGTACCGGTGCCAGCTGCAGTCCAAGAGCATCGAGCTGGAGTTGGTGCATGACACCAAGAAGTCCTTGGAGCAGCAGCTCAGCGACATCGAGGATCGCCACTATCATGACCTCAGCAGCTACCAGGACACCATCCAGCAGTTGGTAATGAGCTTCGGGACGCAAAGTGGGAAATGGCTCGTCATCTGCAAGAATACCAGGATCTTCCCAACATCAGGATGGCTCTGGATATCGAGATCGTTAGGTACAGAAAACTTTTAGAGGGTGAAGAGACCCAATTTAGTACATTTTCAAGAAGCATCACTGGGTCACTGTCTACACACCGACGGCCCTCAGTCACAATATCCAGTAAGATTCAGAAAACCAAGGTCGAGGTGCCGAAGTTAAAGGTCCAATACCAATTTGTAGGGGAGATCATAGAGGAAACCGAAGTGGAGGAGGAGAAGTCAGAAATGGAAGAGGCTCTTACAGCCATTGCCAAGGAACTGGCAGTCTCCATGAAAGAAGAGAAGGAAGAAGAGGTGGAAGAAAAGGAAGAGGAACAAGAAGCTGAAGAAGAAGTTGTAGCTGCCAAGAAGTCTCCAGTGAAAGCACCAGAAGTTCAAGGAGAAGAGGAAAAGAAGGAAGAAGAAGACCAAGAAGAAGAAGAAGAGGAAGAAAATGAGGGTGCCAAGTTGGACCAAGCCCAAGAGGAAGGTTCTGAGAAGGAGGGCTCTAGTGAAAAAGAGGAAAGGGAGCAGGAAGAAGAAGGAGAAACACAGGCTAAAGGTGAAGGAGAGGAAGCCGAAGCTAAGGAGGAAAAGAAAACTGAGAAAAAGAGTGAGGAAGTGGCTACCAGGG